TAAAATTTTTTAAAAACATATTTTTTATAAATGCACACCCTCTATAAATGCATGCTTATGTCTGGTCCCGAGGGGGGGTGCATTTATAGAGAGTTGACTGTAATTATTTTTGATAATACATACAAAGTTAATTAATTTAATATGCCATTTGGAATTTTTATAGGAGTAAACAATTTTGTTCAAAGTATATATTTTGCTAGAACTTTAATGTGTCAAGAAACAATTAATAGTTTTATATGAATATTTAAATTATTTCTTAAAATGGTTAATAATAATCTACCAAAAGTAATACTTACAGATGAAGATAAAGCAATTTCTCAAGCTATACAAAATGTTTTTGGTCAAAATAATAAACATGTATTATGTATATGGCATCTTTGAAAAAATGTAATCAAAAATTTATGTAGTATATTAGGAGCAAATTGGTATAATTTTACAAAAGCATTTTATGAATATATAAAAGAATATGAAGTTGATAATTTTATAATCAAATGGCAACAACTTCAAATAGACTTTCTAGATTGTAAAGCATATTTGAATAAAGTAAAAGAAAAATGAGCATCTTGTTTTAATAGAGATATATTTTTAGCAGATATAACAAGTATACAGCGTGAAGAATCAATAAATAGTCTTATGAAAAATTATATAAATGCAACCAATTCACTTTTAGATTTTTTAAAAGTTTTTGAATCTGCACTAGAACAACATGATATTGATTTACAATTATTTAAATATCGACAAAATCAATTTAATGTTATTTTAAAAATAATAAGTCCATTTAAATATCAAGCAGTAGAAATATTAATAAGTTATGCATTCAGGAGCAAGTATTATAAACATTTAATTATTCTTGTATAGAATTGTTTGATTTAAGGTATTTTAATTATAATGTATTTTTATTTTATAAAATTTATTTAATTTAATTTAATTTATTTTTAATTATTTAGAACTTAAAATATTCAATTATTTCATGTTCATTGATTCAATCATAATTATGAATCTGAAAGAAAAATACAATATGATTAATAATAACAATTGTTTTTGTATTCATGCAAACATACAACTTTTTCTGGAATTATATATCAGCATATATTTCGTGTAATAATACAAATGAATTTAAATAAATTGCCAAATTCACTATTTTATCAACGTTAGCAAAAAGTTCTAAATAATCTTGTTTAACATAACAATTTAATTTGTTTTATGGTAATGATATAACAAAACATTTGGGTTTCTCAGAAATAGAAAATTTTGAAGGTTATAAATATTTGTTGACAAAAACTTTTTATAAAATAAAAATTTGATAAAAAAGTATCCAAAATTATCCAAAGAATTTTATTTTATAAATAATACTTTATTAGAAAATAAATTAAAAATTATTCTTCAAACTTGTCAAATAAAAGATAATACTTTATAAAGTATAATCAATAATCCTAAAAAAATAATAATTTTAAAAAAAACATATTTATAATTGATATTTTTTAGTTTATTGATATTATAATATTATATTATTTTATTAATTTTAAAAAATTTTAATTAAGAAAAAAAAAATTCAACAAAAAATTTATCAAATAAAAAGCAAAAAAATTCAATTGCTAGTGGTAGTAGTAGTGATAGATACAAGAAAAAGAAAATATTATAAATTATTGAAAGAATGATCATACATTTAATATGCCAAGTCTAACATATGAAGTATTTCAAAATTTACTACAGATATCCATAACTAAATTAATGAATATAGAAATAGATGATATAAATGCTAAAAATAAAAAAAAAGGTATGTTTATTTTATAAAACTTATGAATTTTAAATATAATGATATTAATAATTCTTTTTTTAATACTTTTAGATGAATTATCATGTCTTTTTTGTAATCAACCTTTACCTAATCCTTTACCAAAAAAATTACTTGAATATTTAAAAATATTGCAAAAAAAAAGTAAATTTTATATTTAATTTATTTCTATAATAATAATATTAATTATATATTAAAATATTTTGATTTCTTTAGAAAAAATATTAGAAATCAATTATGCAGAGTTTTATTTTATGCATTATGCAGAAACAAAAATTATTCCATTAGGTATAGAGGTGGGTTATCCAACAAATATCAATTTTGAAATTTTATCAAATCGGATTAGTAATATTCAAGATGATTTTCTTTTCTTAGAGTTTCTTTTTAATATACCTATTTTAGGCTTTATCACATATTGTTATACTAATGATTTTATTTCTTATTGATTATTTTATCTTAAACCTTTATGTAACATCTAAATTGATCATTATTCAACCAATTTCAATGATCTTCTGTATTATACTAACTTCTTGCAGATCATTTTTGCTGTATCACATGACCTTCTTATTTTTATAGATCTCTTGTATTACATTATATAATATTCTAATTATTGTATTATATTTCAATTATTGTACTTTATTTCAGTTATATTATAAGATTTATATTACATTTCAGTTATATTGTATTTCATATATTTATATTACCTAATAGTTATTCAGATGATTGTGTTTCATAGTTTTTATTTTTCCAATATTATGTGATTTCTGCTAATTATTTTTCTTTATAACTCTCTATTTAATTAATTGTTTAATAATCTCTTAATATTATAGTTTCTTTAATATTATTTATTTTGCTGAAAAAAGTCAGGTAATATATCATTTTAAAATTTCTTGACTTTACAACGTAAACTTTATTTCTTTTTATCTATTTATTTCTTATTATATAAAAATAATTAATTTATGATTCGCTAATAATAAGATATCAATTATATATACATGTAATAATTAAAGTAGGAATAATTATTATATTTAAACAAATATATATATAATAATCTTAATAATATTATTATAAGACATTATAATAAAATATTAAAAAGTATATATAGGTAGTAAAAACCTTCAGTGATATTAATTGCTACTGATATACTTATTTCTAACTTATACTTTAAGCCTTTTTAAAAAACTAGTGACATGTTAAAATATCACAAGAGAATGAAATAAAAATTAAATAATATTACTCTTTCTGAGTTGAAATAAAAATACAAGTTGAGCTAAAAATAGACTTTTATTATTTAAGTTATTTAAGGAAATAAATATATAGTCTTTTACCAAAATTTTATGTGAATCTTTATTAGAATCTAATAAAGAAGTTAAAAATGATCTTATAAGTACTATAACAAAATTATACCAAAAAATATTTTGAACTAAAACACATTTTTTCTAGAGTATTAATAATAAGTATAAAAGACAATAATATTTTAAATGAACTTATATCAGACTTATCCTTTTAACCTTTTACAATAAATATACAATAATCAAAAAATTAATATAATGATATATTCAATTGATATGCTAGCAAAATAAGAAGCTGAATGTAAATTTACTTCATTTTTTATCTATTCTAAATCTAAAAAATATGCTTTACATTTTTAACCTATCAATAAAAATAGATGTTCTATTTATATTTACAAAGAAAACTAATTGTCTAAAAAATTTTATAGGTCAAATCCTAATAGTGTATAGAAAAATAAGTATATTAAAAGAATGTTTAGATATAACTTTATTCAGCTTAGATAATTCTAATATAAAAGAAAAACTAGAATAAGTAAGAAAGTTGTTATATTTTCATGATGAAAAGCATAATTATTCAAAAATAGAGTAAATATTCAAATATCATTTACAAAAAAAGTATCATAGATTCAATCTCAAGGTGGAACAACAATTCTATTAAAGTTCAAAGAATTTATTGAGCAAAAATTGCTCATTAATATAGAAATAACAAGAAAAAAAACTATAAGTATGGTAACATCAGCATACTGGTTAAATGTACTTGGCTTTTCTTTTCAATCACAAAAACAAGGTAAAATATTTATGTTATGTATATATTAATTATAAATTATAAATATAAAAATTAACAAATAAAAATTAAATTAAGGAATATATTATGATGGTTATAAATGTCCTGATATTATTGAATATTAAAAATTATTTTTAAAAGAAATTTTCAATTATGAAAAATATATGGTAGTATATAAAGGTAAAAATATAAAACAGATTCCACCAATTTTAAGAACTAATGATAAGGAGGTAATTCTTGTAACACATTATGAATGTATATTTTATTCTAACAACGGAAAATGAGGTGTGTGGATAAAGTCAGAAGAGCTGCTATTACATAAAAAAGGTAATAGACGTTCGATTATGATTAGTAAATTCTTATTAGAAAAATGTGATTGACTTAAACTTAATGCTTAACAAATTCAAGAAAATCCTTTCATACCTTAAGAAGTACGCTTTTATCTTCAATCAGGTAAAAACCAGGATAGGTATTGAACAAATGAACACTTAATAAATCAAATTTAAACTAAAGTTATTTCAATTTTTAAGACACTTTTTCCTAATTATATTGGGCTGTTTGTATTTAATAATAGTTCAAATTATGCAGCATTTAAACCTAATGTTCTTGTAGCCAGTAGAATGAACTTAAAGCTTAAAGGGAAATAACCAAAAATGAAAGATATGATTTTTTGACCAAATAATCAATATCAATACAAGGATAAATGATAATGGTGAACCTAAAGGAATGAAACAAATATTAATTGAATGGAAATTGTGAAGAGATGGTTTAAGTGCTGATTGTAAATTGTATAAAAACAAGATATATAATATAACTAAAACAGATTGTTATGCACATCGAATTATCTCATTACAACCTGATTTCTTAGCACAAAAAATACATTAGAAGAAATAATATTAAAAGCTGATCATAAAGTTATTTTTTATCCAAAATTTTATTGTGAGTTAAATTTATTGAGTGATATTAGGATGTGGTAAAACAGTATACTTGAGAAAATTGTGATTATTCGTAGCAGAGTTTGCAACGTATTATTTTTGAAGGTTTAGATTCCATTAATATAACTATAATAAGAAAATTTGCCTGAAAGATATGGTATTATATGGACTTATATAAGAATAGAATTATTAGCAAATTAGCAGAGTATGCAGCCAAAAATATAAATCTCATCATTGAATTTCTGATCATGTAATAGTAGAATTAAAATAATTTTTTTATTGTATTATGAAATAAAGTCATATAAAAGTCATGTGTAAGTTACGTGAAGTTACATTTAAAATTTCAGACTTTTGTGGTTTATAAGTGAGATGCATCATATTAAAGACAGTTTTATAGACAAAATTTTCAGTTACAAACAGTTTTTTGAAATTTTTTAAAAAAATTTTTATTTTGTTATACAACTGATCTTTTGTTTTGATTTGCTAAATTATTAACATTGTTAAGCCTAAACACTACGTCATTAGGATAACAAAGCTTATTTGCTAACAGGGAGTTCAAGTTGTAAACTATAAAAGAAATAAACACGAATTTATTTAAGTTGAAGGGTCAGGTCATCTTTATTGATGATTTATGTTTTAAGGAAATAGATATTAGCAAAGATATAGTTTTTATATTATTAAGATTATATTTTATTAATTGTACGATTAGAACTTATTAGTTTGTCAAGGCGACAATACAGGATATTTATAAAAAATACAATTATAAGATAGAGATAATAAATATAATAATAAAAGCAAATATAACTATGAAAATAAATATAGTAAATAAAATAATGATAAACATAATAATAAAGAAAAAAATATCACAATGATAATCGTGATAGCAATGAAATTAGTGAAAATGATGATCACGATTTTCCTGGTAATCATTGGTAACATTAGTTAGCGCAGTCATCTAGTGATGCAAATAGATTATCACTAATAACTTCTTCCTCTAATATCTGAGCTCCTGCGATGGTACTAGCTTTCTATACGAGCTGTTGGTGTTGTTT